ATATTGGCTCACCGCAGAGACGAGCCGCATGAACCATAAACGCAGCGAGTTGTGAAGCGCGTTCCATCCGCGAGCCGCATCACCGCGCGGAAAGTGAATACGTCAAGCATAAACCAAGCTTAAAGCTGATCTTCATCCGCGTACGTCACACGTCACGTGATCAGGAAGCAGAACGTCCATGTGTTAGGAGATCGTTTTGGGCCGCTGCTGTAAAAAAGGTGAGGCGCGAACGGAAAAGCTTCTGCCGATCACAATTCAACAACGGATTATGAAAGAATGGATAACGCTTGAAACGCGCTTGTACTGTCCTCGCTGAGACGTAGTGGTAGTTTCAACTAGACAGTGAGCTAAACTCTGACTCAGTGACGAAAGATGTGTTCCTGTAGTCTCCAAACTTGTTACACATACTTGCTGTCGCTTACAATACAGAGTAAAACTGAAAAAGAAAAGAAAAACAATGGAGTCATCTCTCTCTCTTCATTGATATCTAATTCACAGTAAATATAAATTAGAATTCAAAGCCTATAACTGCTAAATAAAATCACCTGTGAATGAAACAGGTTGCCCACAAACGGAGATGGCATATTTCAACAGGTAACAACAGCTAAATGAATTATTATTAGCTTAATACGCAGTGCAACAACGCCAACTGCTGACAGAAAGAAGTAGCCAGAAATGTCCACTTGTTTAGCTAGCTCCACAAACTTGTCTTTAGCACAAATGTATCAATAAAACTGTGTAAAACAAATATGAATACATACAGGCGTTGCTTCTTCAAGAGTTAAGCAAAGGTTTGCCGGTTTTCTGAATTTTTAGATCGTCTTTCCCTCTTTTTACCGATCTCTCCGCATCAGCGCGCGTTGCTAGTAACTCACGTACACAGCACTTCCTGTTCTACGGGTGTTTTCCCTGTCAAAATAAAAGCGTACACAGCACTTCCTGTTCTACGGGTGTTTTCCCTGTCAAAATAAAAGCGTACACAGCACTTCCTGTTCTACGGGTGTTTTCCATGTCAAAATAAAAGCGTACACAGCACTTCCTGTTCTACGGGTGTTTTCCATGTCAAAATAAAAGCGTACACAGCACTTCCTGTTCTACGGGTGTTTTCCATGTCAAAATAAAAGCACGTTCATAAAACTTTTACACAATGAACTAAAATGACTGGAAGGCAGAACAGCGCTGATTCTTCCTGATGTAAGAGGTGAGTCTCCGCTTTGTGTCGGTTGTTTTGGCGCTGACATCATCTTAGCGCGCAAAGTTCAGCGACTCTTAAAAAACAGTGAAAATGCTGAAAAACGCCAGCAGTGTGGGACTTTTCTGGTCAGGAAACGGCTGGCAGTGAATGAGTTAATAGATATAGGTAAGGACCTCAGCTAATTTGCATTTGGTCTGATTGCATTACTCTGCATGACATTATTTTAAATAGTTTACACATTTTTTGCAAATTGTGATAATTCTGTGATAATTTTGTCAGACACAACTCAATGTGTCTTATTTACATTTCAGTTTCGTCATTTTTACAATTTTGTCACCAACTCCTCCAAAGTTGCTTCCCATTTCTCCCGCTGAGAACAATTTTATATGGCCTTCTAGCATGTGATGACTGCAGTTGTTTTAAGAGAATATCCATTTTGCAATGTTTTTTAACCCTCCCACTGTCCTCATGGGTGACCCCGCCAGGAAAGTTGACCAATGAGGTGGGTCGATGGTTTATCCCTTGAGGTCCACGTGGCAGGGATGAGAAGTGAGCACCACCCTGCCATGTGGACCTCAAGGGATGAACCATCAACCCATCTCATTGGTCAACTTTCCTGGCGGGGTCACCCATGAGGACAGTGGGAGGGTTAAGCACTTTAGGGAATAACACTGTCTGCTGTAAAAGTGGATTTTAAAATGAAGAAAAGGTGAAAAAACCTTATTTTAAAATCACGTGGAAAACCTGGGATCAAAAATGCAGAATTTCCACATTGAGATAATCGGTGTTTTATTATTGTGGTGAGGGACATCACATCACAATGAATTGGCTGTATTTGCAGGATCCCAAAATGACCTGCCATGACTATGTTGAGTTTCAGCTTATATCAGATAGCTAAGGTTCACTCATAAAAGATTCCTGTCACTTCGTCTCCCTGATGACACTTTGACGTTGATTCTATAAACAAAAACACGTGGCTGTTGTTGACTGCTGATGAGCGCTGACTACCAAAAACACGCCACTGTCTGTGTAAGCATGTTAAACAGGAAATGGAGCATGTTGCTGTTATGCAACATCTTACAACTAAATCTAAATAAAATGCATTTAACAACAATCTACATAAACAACAATGTTCTGTATTTGGGTCTCAAGGCTGTGGATAACAGTTAATTCATGTCATTGTTGCCATTTCCTGTAAACAGAGCGCTCACGACAGAACACAACAGCTGTTGTCATCGTCAGTACCTCAAGTCCGTCGTCAAACCTTGTTTTTATTTCCTCTAAATATCAAACCAATATACTCGTTTTACAGGAAACACAAAGATTCTTCCTGTTTTACAATAAAAAGTTTGAACCACCCTGCATCGGGTTTGTTCAAAAATAACCTACAAAAATTGCTGTTTTTCTGCAGCATAACATCTCTGATGAAGAGCAATTATGCTAATAGTCGATAATTAAGGTCGTATGAGCGTGCTTTGCATTTATAAATGATTAGAAATCTAAACGTATGCAGGGATTTGACTGACAACAGATGCCTCAGAACCGTTCATGAATGTGAGTTTTCATTTATCTTATTTGCAATTAAAAACACTGAAGTATGAGAGCTGTGTGAAGAGCACAGAACCTGGATTTAACCCCCAAAGCAGATTTCTGCTGTTAGGCTTTGGTTTACTTTGCTAAATAACAGTCTGACATAAGGAGAATAAATAGATTTCATTTTATTAGAAGAGCTTTCTGGAGCACTCTACAAAAATAAAGTTTTCTTCTAACATTTTCATATTCAAACCAGTTTTGTTGACTTTTATTCATCCACACTCTCAGCCTCGGTTTAGCCTGGTGAGACATTTTCACAGCAACAGGCTGAGATTGGTGTTGCTATGGTAATTAAGCATCGTTAGTAAGTGAACAATCATTTTTGCAGCCAATTAGCTTAGCTTTGAGTAATCACAGTAAACAGGTTTTATCAGAGCCTAAAGGAACACTGCCGGGAGCTCTTCCTGATACAAAAATAGCAACGGAAAAAGTCAACACAGACAAATGTGTCGTTTTACCTGCTGGAAAACTGCAGCCAGCAGTTCCTCATCAAAGATGAAAGTGCAAGGTTCGTGTGTTGCTTTGGGGCGGTGTTGGGTGCTTTTGGTCTAATATTTGTTTGTAAACTTAAACAGGCACAAACTAATTTATTAGAAATAAGTGATTACATTTTTACCACCACACATCTATCTATAAAATATTATTTCAAGAAAACCATAAAGTAGGAAAGTAGAACAAAGGAATGATACAGAAGTTGGCTTCAGCACCTTGGAGAGCAACCCAAAATTTTCACATAAGTTGGACAATATTCTGGTCAAAATAGCAAATATTTTACATAGATCATCTCTGGTACGTTCTTGCTGGGTTGATGTTCTAACTACATTGTTGGTTCTTTTTTAAAACACATAAAAGGTTTCTCTTTACCTTGCTGACAGTTTCGTTTGTGGCTGCGAACTTCCTCAGAGCTGACGCTGATAGTGGCGTCACTTCCTACTCCGTTTATTGTTACAAGTCAAAGACACACAAGAGCAGCAAAACAAGAAGCAGAAAGCACAATAAAGAAGTCAGCCGTAACAGATCACTGCACACGAGAAAACCATATAATGGACTGGGACAACACAAGGATCATAAACACCGAACAACAGAAATACAAAAGATGGATAAAGGAAGCTATAGAGATAGGGAGACGTGGATACGGGACCATGAACAGAAACAATGGAGTTTACTCGTTGGATCGTGCATGGGACTGCATCATCGGAGAGGGGAGAGCGGGCAGCAGAGGGTGACAACGTCCTCTGCTGCCCGCTCATAAATGGAGTAGGAAGTGACGCCACCATCAGCGTCAGCTCTGAGGATGTTTGCAGCCGCAAACAAAACGTCAGCAAGGTAAATTTAAACCTTTTATGTGTTTCAAAAAAGAACCAACAATGCAGTTTTACATTGATATATTCCAGAAATGAGCTCCACGGTTTGGCTAATTTGTCTGTTTAGGATTTTTATTTGCAGATTAAAAAGTCCAAGGGCATCTAGTCCAACCAGAATCAAGGAAGTTGTTGGGCATTCAGGAAAAATGTGGATAAGTGATATTTTGCCACCAAAATGTGTTAAAAGAGAGTATAATGTTTTTGATTTATTAAGTTCTAATTGTTCTATTGTCTATAAAACAAAAACATGTTCATGAAGTTATTTCCACAAAATCCCTCTCACAGAAAGTCATTTCAGCAGTTTTATGTTTGACATTTTCATTACCTTAGAAAACTACCTGGTTCAGGGTGCCGTTACTTAAATAAATAAATAAACAAGCTGGAGCTGGCCACACCTACCCATCCCCCACACGGGCTGCTATAAGCTGAGAAGCTCTGACACCAGGAAGCGGCTCGGAGTAAAGCAGCTGCTCTTCACAAGATGAGGGGTGGTGCTATTTGTGACATCACAAACAGGAACTTTTTGAAACTGCTTGTTTTAGGGAAATAGTTTCTAAAACCAAACACGGACTTATAAAGAATGGATGGATTTTTTCCATGTTTGCAGTATTTACAGTGTCAGCACAGACCCACACGGCAGCACTAACGGAGGCAAAAGGTGAGTTTTGCACAATATGTTCCCTTTAAATACTAATCACTTTTCTATCATTCATTTTGTTAAATCACATATGAGGGAATCATAGGACAGGAACTGATGATTTTCTGCTCCTAACTTGACTTTATGCAGCTTTTTGTATACTTTTGTTGTACATATCAAAATGATTTGGTAAACAAGTCCCACTACTCACCCTGAGAGTGTGTGCTGACTCAACCGGGAGTCCAATGACATCCACCTGAGCCAGGTCGTCTGCATGTGCCCCGAACCCGTGGATAAGCATGACGGGCCCACTGTATGAAACGTCTTGTTGAGGGACCAGATTCAGATGCTGATCGACGTGGAAGCTGGGATCTGACACATCAAACGTCACATCCTCGTTCCCCGCACAGTCATCAAACTCAACTGAAGGAAAGAAACAAAACACAGAACACACAGAAGTAGTTTTGGCATCACTCTGAACAAATTAGAAACAACAGAAGTGTCAAGAAAAATAAGCCTGATCTGACAGCAGCTGAGGAGCACACTGCAGTGGAAGGAGAGAAAAAACGTGAGGAGCTGTCAAACAACACATAAAAGCAAGACTTTTAGGTGTAAACAGACACCCTGAAGATATGCATATAACCTGTGCAAAGAGTAGCATGATCTGAAGAGGTGTCAGCAAGCCTTCATGAAGAGTCAGGGAGCTCATATTCAAATGAGTTGCTCCAAAATGTAAAACCCAGCGCGAAACACGCTACCCATGGTGGACTTTTGCAGGAATGTTGTTTTTACTGCTACAAAGCAGGGAGAGAACATGGATTTATTACACAAGAAAATAAGAAATGACTCATATTTGAGTTCCCTTCAACGTGGTGTAAGCGGTCTCGCCTGACTTTGGGAGATACCGCCAAAGTCTCGACCAAGAATTACCTCTTCTGATCATGTTCATCCTCTCTTTATCTCTTTCACACACTCCCATCGGCGTTGCACCATGATCCCCGCGGGCCTTCCCTCACCCTTAGCCCTGACAATCCCCTCCACCCTCATCCGTCACCTTCTCTTAACCTCGGCCTCCCATGATGGATCTTACTCTTGTGGCTGGGGGGGGGGGGGGGGGGGGGGGGGTACACATGGAGCTGACTGGAAGACACAAGTACAGCAAAAAGCACGTCTCCCTGTAACCTTCAGCGTGAGTGTGAACGTGAAGGAAGACTTCTAAACGGTACGAAGCACGATTAGCCGGCGATGTTTGAACAGGGAGGCAGGTGGGTCTTTTTGATCGCCATGGTAACACACCTTCAGCTCAAACAGCTTTGTGTTTTCTTGATATTCTGTTAAATGAGGCAAAAAGCTATAGTAAATAACTAAAATAACTCAAAATAAATAAAACGCTAACATCATGAAAGGCACATCTTGGATTTTCACATGTCCCAAAATATCCATTCTGTGGCATTTATCAGCTTGTTTTCTAATAAGTAGTTAGTTCTTAACCAGAATCAGTCAACATAATTATTTGGGACTGGATCAAAATAAAGTCGACCCAAAACTGTGAACAATATCCAACGTCTCTGCAAAAACTGACACGACAGAATGTCCAAGTATGTGCATGATGTGTTACCTGCTACAGAAAGACCTGATTGAACATTTAAGGTAAAAGAAACAAGTGGAGGGAGAATGTGAGAGCGTCTACTCTGTGTGTTCGGTTCACTTTGGGACCGCCTCTACAGAGAGACCCAGATTACGTTTGAACTCGGCTTTATGAAGGTTTTTAGAGCAGCTTGGAGATCAATGGCGTCTCTGAAGACGCAGCACAGCTCCAGGCATGTACTGATGTCCAGCCAGCTAATTAAAAAACGAGACCGATAAATTGTACACTAACAGTTTTGATGTCAGTGCAATATCCTGACTTATCTCACAGAACGGGTTTTATTATTACCACTATATGTTGGAGTCCAACAGAAACAACAAAAATCGCTTTAGTTTCTGATCTGGTTTCCTCTGTTTAACGTTGATGACGCAACATTCTGTAACAGCAGAAACAAACCGCCTTTAAAAACGTTTTCAATGCAAAAAGGATGAAATGAAATGTTGAAGTGGTGACTCTGTCTAGGTCCAGTTTCATGTAAAACAGACGTGTGTTCATTTGTGAAGATAAGAGCCGTCCGTCAGTCTGGCTTCAGACGGTGTTCTTGTTCTTCTACATTGATGATATTTGGTTTTACTTTTGTAAATATTTCATTGATGCACACTTGGCAGAACTCCAGGAAGCAAAGCAAAGTTCAGCATAGCTGTTTTTGTTGTGTGCTCCACACCCACACACACCGTTATCATGAATATGAGATTTGTCTCATTTGGGTTTTATTAATAGTTTCATTTTGATTAACCAGCTAAGTGGACTAGTGGTAGTGTATGCACTGGGACTGGGAGATCGGGGTTCAAATCCCAGTCGGGTCATACCAAAGGCTTTGAAAAATGCCTCCTCCCTTGATACTCAGCATTAAGGGGTCGGGTTGGGGGTTCAAAGCTGTGTCTGCAGCTCACCGCTCCTCCAGAGGACGGGTCAAATGCAGAGAACAAATGGGACTTGAACTTTAAAACACCACAATCTGACTTTTGTTTCACTTTGAGAAAAACGACGGTTTAAAAAAATGAAACTTCATAATAAAAAGTAAAATGTACTTAAATCTTTTTACAGTCATTTTTTTACTACCAGCATTAACAGTAATATTAATATTTCTCAGTAACACGAACACATCTGTGTTGAAATAGTTAAATTTAGAATAAAATATGCTTCTGTCCAACATCTCGGCCCATTTTCCACCGTGACTGCAATATCACCATCCAATACTGATGAATTTGTGGTTTTTCAAAAGGGGCAAAAGAGTTAAGTGCTTTTAACATTGATGGTGAAGCATATTCTGGGCTGGTGAAAGCATCACACAGTGGCGCTCAGGTCAGACTTCCACTTCGACTCATGCTGCAGACGAGTGGACGTACCAAGCAGAAAGTCAGAGCTCAGTCTGTGGCTCATGAGGACAGAGACAAGAGCACAACGCATTAAAGAAAATATTAGATGCAAAAATTCTAAATAGACAGCAAAAAATCTCATATTGAACTAAAACCAGTGCACAAATATTAATATGAGCTGTCAGTGCTCGGCTAATCTGCTGCCTAATGTCTATCATGAATGATAAATGTTGCATTATTCTTCTCTGACAGTCGAGTCTGAATGACAGATTTTTATATCACAATCAACTTTGATCTGGGGGAAATGATGATGTCACAGGTCAAAGGTGGATCCACGTTAAAAGAAAAATGTCTTTTTCCACTGGTGGATTCAAGCTTCCAGATCGATGACCACCGATCTCTGGTGATAACATCCATCACACGGAATAACTCCAAAGGAAGTAAGCAGAGAGAAGGGAGCAGCTCCATCTCATCTTCTCTTGTTCTCGGTGCAACGGACGAGGTGGTGACTTTTGACCTTAGACTTGTTTTTGCTTCGTCAGTGTTTTCCCACAGACGAAAAGCGAAGCCAGTGAGAAACTTTATACCGTTGAACAAAACTGTCAAAACAGGTCGAATAAAAGCAAAAAGTAAACTTCATGTTCTGCTTTAATGAAGAAAAGAATCAGTGAGAAAATACACAGTTATGTGTTCATAGACGTAAAAATCTTTATACCACTCATTCATTTTTGACACGTGTGTGGTTTGAGGTCCTGCCCCAAGTGGAGGAGTTTAAGTATCTCAGGGCCTTGTTCACGAGTGAGGGAAAACTGGAGCGTGAGATCGATAGGTGGATTGGTTCTGCATCTGCAGTGATGCGGGCGTTGTACCGGTCTGTCGTGGTGAAGAGAGAGCTGAGTCAGAAGGCGAAGCTCTCGATTTACCGGTCGATCTACGTTCCTACCCTCACCTATGGTCACGAGCTTTGGGTAGTGACAGAAAGAACGAGATCGCAGATACAAGCGGCCGAAATGAGTTTTCTCCGAAAGTGGCTGGGCTCTCCCTTAGAGATAGGGTGAGAAGCTCGGTCATCCGGGAGGGGCTCGGAGTAGACCCGCTGCTCCTCCACATCGAGAGAAGCCAGTTGAGGTGGCTCGGGCATCTGGTCAGGATGCCTCCTGGATGCCTCCCTGGTGAGGTTTTCCGGGCACGTCCAACCGGGAGGAGACCTAAAGGTAGACCCAGGACACGGTGGAGGGACTATGTCTCTCACCTGGCCAGGGAACGCCTTGGGATTCCCCCGGAGGAGCTGGCCCAAGTGGCTGGGGAGAGGGAAATCTGGGCTTCTCGACTTAGGCTGCTGCCCCTGCGACCCGACTCCGGATAAGCAGAAGAAAATGGACGGACGGACGGACGGATGGATGGACGGATGGACGGATGGATGGATGGATGGATGGATGGATGGATGGATGGATGGACGGATGGATGGACGGACGGACGGACGGATGGATGGATGGATGGATGGATGGATGGATGGATGGATGGATGGATGGATGGATGGATGGACGGACGGATGGATGGATGGATGGATGGACGGACGGACATAGAAAACACGCAGGACGGTGGTCCCTGACGACCAGGGTATACACTGGTTTAAGGTTTACGGCAGAAAAGGGAAGTTGTGGCATCAACGAGTCATCTCCATGTCGCGATTTAGCTCCCAGATGGAGGGAGATTATCAGTGGTCTTGTATGTCTTCCATTTTCTGATAATTGCTCCCACAGTTGATTTTTTCACACCAAGCTGCTTGCCTATTGTAGATTCACTCTTCCCAGTCTGGTGCAGGTCTACAATTCTTTTCCTGGTGTCCTTCGAAAGCTCTTTGGTCTTGGCCATAGTGGAGTTTGGAGTCTGACTGTTTGAGGCTGTGGACAGGTGTCTTTTATACAGATAATGAGTTCAAACAGGTGCCATTAATACAGGTAACGAGTGGAGGACAGAAAAGCTTCTTAAAGAAGACGTTACAGGTCTGTGAGAGCCAGAGATTTTCCTTGTTTGAAGTGACCAAATACTTAGTTTCCACCCTGATTTACAAATAAATTCTTTAAAAATCCTGCCATGTGAATTCATGGATTTTTTGTCACATTCTGTCTCTCACAGTTGAAGTGTACCTATGATGTAAATTACTGACCTCTGTCATCATTTTAAGTGGGAGAACTTGCACAATCGGTGGCTGACTAAATACTTTTTTGCCCCACTGTATATACTGATCACTAATGTGTCTTTCTCTTTGAAAGAATTTTCTGTGTTTGTATAAAATAGATTTTTATAGTTGGAACCAAATGAGTCTGCAGAGCTCATTAGTGCAAGTTTTTAATGACAACATAAATTTAATAAGTTTAAATAATAAAAAATCTGCACTTGTGGAGCTCCTGTCTGAGTCAGAGGACTCCAAAGCTCTTTACACTGCAGAGAAT